TTTGTGGCAGAAGTATCTGAAGCAATCTGAGTTGTGGTTTACTCCAAGGTACCAGGCATAAAAGACATTTCAAAAGTATCTGCTAGTTTTGAGAAAAAGGGGTTGCAAAATTAAGCTGGGACCACTGATGGTATTCCTGTGCCCTTCTCCAGGAGCACGAGTACAAACATTGCAAAGGGTACTACTCCATTACTATGAAAGACCTCACAGACCACAAAGGTCAATTTATGAATGTCAGCCTGGGTTGCACTGGGAAAGTTCATGATGCCATGGTTTTCCGATGATCAGGAGTCTACATTTATAGAGAGGCTGAGACACTATGACCAGCAAATGTTATTCTTGGAGACCCTGCATACCCCCTTTTTCCTTGGCTGATGAAATCATACCTAGATTGCAGAAGGCCTGACAAAAATTATTTAATTCTATTCTCAGAGCACAGAAAAGTGGTGGAACATGTATGTGGCAGATTAAAATCTTGTTGGCACTGTTTACAGCCCCATTTGAATTAATAGACTCATGAATCATATGGCTGGAAGAGACCTCAGGAGGTCATCAAGTCCAGCCCCCTGCCCAAGGCAAGACCAATCCCAAATAAATCAACCCAGCCAGGGCTTTGTCAAGCTCAGACTTAAAAACCTCTAGGGATGGAGATTCCACCATCTCCGTAGGTAACCCATTCCAGTGCTTCATCACCTTCCTAGTGAAATAGATTTTCCTAATATCCAACCTAGACCTTCCCACTGTAACTTGAGCCCATTGTTCCTTTTTCTTCCATCTATCACTACCGTGAACAGCCTCTCTCCATCCGCTTCGGAACCTCCCTTCAGGAAGCAGAAGGCTGCTATCAAATCCCCCCTCACTCTTCTCTTCTGCAGACTAAATAAGCCCAAATCCCTCAGCCCTTCCTCGTAGGTGATGTGCTCCAGCCCCCTAATCATTTTGGTTACCCTCCACTGGACAAAAGCGGCCCTAGAACCAATCCTTGGGGCACTCTGCTAGAAACTGACCGCCAACCTGACATTAAGCCGTTGACATTAACCCACTGGGTCCAACAGTCTAGCCAGCTTTCTATCCACGTTACAGTCCATTGATCCAATCCATACTTCCTTAACTTGCTGGCAAGAATATTGTGGGAGACCGTATCAAAAGTTTTGCTAACGTCAAGGTATATCACATCCACTGACTTTCCCATATCTTAAGAGCCAGTTACCTCATCATGGAAGCTAATCAGATTGGTCAGGCATGACTTGCCCTTGGTAAATCCATGTTGACTATTCCTGATCACTTTCCCCTCTTTCAAGTGCTACAAAATAGATTCCTTGAGGATCCCGTCTGATTTTTCCAGGGACAGAGGTAAGGTTGAGTAGTCTTTAGTTCCCTAGATTATCCTTCTTCCCTTTTTTAAAGATGGGCACTTTTCCAATCATCTGGGATCTCTCCCAATCACCACGAGTTTTCAAAGATAACGGCCAAAGGCTCTGCAATGACATTTGCCAATTTCTCCTGTTTCATTTCTCTGAACTGGATTTCTGACAAGGAAGCTCTAAACAAAAGACTGATGACCCACAAGCTGTTTGGGTAAGTTCCAGAGAAGCATTTACAAACTAGCATTTTATTTCATTACTGCTTCAAACCTAATATGAGAACTTTGCAGTCTCTTATATGTATGTGATTTCTTTAACCATTTTAATTCTCTTCTATCTTATAAATAAATCTTTACATTTTAATTCTTAAGGGACTGCCAACAATGTGATTATGGGGTAAGAGCTGAGTCATATACTGACCAGTCTAAGTGGCTAGTCTCTTGAAATAAGAAGAACCCTTTGATGAAATTGGTTTTCAATAGCCATGCACCATAACATTTAATCTAATGTTTGGGTGTTGAAATAAAGACTGGAACACCTAAGGAGATTGCATCTTTGACCTCTTCTTAACCAGTGTGGTGAAACAAAAGTTTATTTTTGTCACTGGCTCAGTAAATCTAATGGTAGAATAACCACCAATCTGGGGTGAATCTTCCATATTTCTCAGCAGTTTGTCCTGGACCTAGCATCCTCAGCTCTGACCCATTGAAACATGATGAGAAATATATTTTCTAACTAGCTTGCAGTATACTCAGGAACTCAGCAGGACATGGTTATACCACTGATTGTACAGAAACTGGAATTCTGTAAGACACTGATATCTGGGGATTTGAGGGGTTCAGAACTAACTAGTCAGGTTAGATAGTGTGGAACTAAAAATGCCACAGAAATCTGCAAAAGGTTCACTGTCACTACCAAAGCTTGTTACAGAGGAAGACATGCAAAGATACACATGATCATGACTATTACAATCTTGTTGAACATGGATGACAGCTAATGAGTCACATGGACGGACTATATATTGTATTAACAGAAAATTACATTTATGGGGGCAGTGAAGCACTCAAAAGGGAACGTCAGAGTTAGATTCACCTTTCTTTTTAAAGAATGAAAGGCTGCTGAAGGGGTCAAAAGGTATGCTCTGGTTGCAGACTCAGAAACAGGTGTCCTCTAAAATGCCTGAGCAGTAATGAGGATTGTGTAAGGTTTATGTGTTTATTTTTATACTAAAGTTAACAAAACTCCAGTTTTAGTTGTTTCTGGTCTGGGAGTGAAACAATGGCATAACCACTGTTATCATTAGGCTCCCGAGTTATCGTCCAAATCAAAGTAGACTCCTCACAGAGCTATTAGTGCAGGCTGGCTGCAGACTCAGGTAGACATCACTCTTTGGCCTACAGTAATGTTAGAACAAGTGTTCTTCACAGGGACTAGAGGGCTAATAATTTTTAGAAAATGAAAGCTGAATTTCTGGAGCACAGTTCTGCAGCAAGGAATTCCCAGAGTACATGGGACCCTGTTGATAGAAACAGAGAAAGGAACAAAAAGGGAACAGATTCAGAGAGGTCACAGAACTTAGAGTGTGCCAGAGAAGAAGAGTCTCATGTCAGTCTACACCTGCAGATGGAACCCTACCAAAGTACATGAGGTTGTGGCCATTGGACCTGAAGACGTATCCTGTGGCCCGGGGCTTGTTGACATCTGCACCCATCTCGAGCATCACTTTCACAAGTCTGAAATTCTTATTCACCACAGCAATGTGGAGAGCAGTCTCCCCTGCAACAAACAACACACTCCTTTTACAATGCCAACATTTCACCAAAGGGATCAAAGGCACTGTGCAACCAAGGCCACTTATTAGTGAATAACTGAAAAATTTAACAGGAAAAATGGGTGTTCAAAGAGCCCTAAGGAAGTCACATTCCTGACTCCCATAGAATTCCCATTGCATGTGAGTGGTTAATTTCTCTGGAAAATGACAGCACTGACTGTCGCAGTGACTTCAATGGATTCACCCCAGCATAAAGGGGAGCAAAATTTTGCCCAGATTTTTCACCAATACAGCCTTTATTGTTCCTAGCCTGAAGGTAGGAGTTGAAACCATGAAGTTAATTGCTGTTAAATGAATGACACTTGTGACTTCTCACCACTTTTCAGTGAAATGCATGAATGCCTCATTAATGCCTTGTATGCGCCTGTTCATATTTTACACTTGTATAACAGTTTCCAGCTGAGGATTGCAGAGCATTTCACAAATGTTTATCAATTAAACCTCACAATAACCTGGAATTACTAGCGTGAAGCTGAAGTGCAGCAAAACAAAGTGACTTGCTAAATAATAGGATGGTGGCTAGAAACCAGGTCTCCTGACTCCTCACTCCCTACTCAAACAACAAAGTCATATTCCTTCCTCTCTTGCACCTGGTTCTGGGGTAGAAGGAGGAAAGTATTTAACAATGCATGGCAGTGTTCTCTCTGACCTCTTATGTCCATGTGCAGAACGAGGTTCATTATGTGCCTCAATATGGAGGTGATTCTGCCTAGAGACAGTATGTGACAGGGCTGGGGCAGAGGGTTGGCGAGTGGCGTGAGGGCTCTGGCTAGGGGTATGGGCTTTGGGGTGTGGCTGGGGGGGGGAGCTGCAGGCTGCCCAGGGGAAGAGGACTACCCCCAGCCCTCTCTCATAACAGTAGCTTGCGGCCAGGCAAGTGGCACAGATGCCACAGCTCCAACAGGCACAGCTGTGGGAGGTACCTCTTCCTTCTGCATGGCAGCTCTGGGTTAGGCTGGGAGTGGGCCAGGGAAGGAGCACCTGTCTCTTGACAGTGGCAGCTCTGGGTTGGGCATCATGGCCAGGGGAAAGATGCATTCCTGGTCCCAGCACTGAACTACCACTGATGTGGGAACAGTCCTGTCCCCTAGCGCCAGCATGGAGGGAGAGCCAACCATTCCCCCAATCCCAACACAGAGCTGCTGGAGCTTGAGGGAAGGGCTGAAGAGGTGCTTCTGTTCCAGCTGCTGCAGACAGCAACTTAGAGGGGTCGTAGATGCATGTAACAATATAGTTCTCAGAGCAGGGGTGGGCAATAATTTTTGATGGGGGGGGGCACGCCAAGATTTTGGAAAGTGGTTGAGGGCTGCACTCAACTAGGATATTAATGGAGGAATTCTGAGGTCTGGAATGGAGGTTGGGTGCAGAAGGGAGCTTGAGGTAAGGGACTGGGGTGCAGGAGGGAGAATGGAGTCTGAGCGGGAGTTTGGGTGAAGGAAGCAGTTGTGACATAGGGCAGGCGACTGGGATGCAGGATTCTGGGATCTGACTTAGGGTAGGAGGGGATTGTGATTGGGGCAGGGGATTGGGGTGCCAGATCTGGGAGGGGATATAGGTGCATGAGGGGGCAGACAGTTTGGATCTGTGGAAGGCGTCAGAGGGTTGGGGAAGGGAGGGACTAGGGTGCCAGAGGCAGGCTCTGTCTGAGAGGCGCTTACCAGCAGAAACCTGAAGCAGACAGACTGCTGCAGGCAGCTGGCTGCTCCACATGGCTCTGCTCCGGGCATGAGAGGGAGGAAAAGGGGGTCAAGGAGGAAGGGAGATAGCTTCCTACACTGCCCCTGAGCCTAGCAAAAATTCTCAGCTCCTATTGGCCAGAAACTGAAAGATTGGCCAATGAGAGCTAAGAGATTTTGCTGGGAGGTGGGTACAGCATGAGAAGTCTCCCTCCTCCCTCCCCAGCCATCTGGAAGGAAGAACAGCTGACTTGTTAAAGTGTGAGCTGTTCTCTGCCTAAGGGTTCTGGTGAGGTGACTGAGGGACAGATCTGGTGGCTTGGTGGGTCAGATCCGGCCCACTGGCAGCCTCTTGCCCACCTCTGCATTAGAGCCTGCAGAAAAAGTGCATAGCAAAGTGAAAATGCAGAGGGAATTGATGAAGGTAGAATGTAGTTTTCTAACACTGGTATTAATAAACCCACTTTGGAGCATCTAGGCATTATCTCTCTACTGGTAGATGGCTACTCCAACAGCAGCACATCCTCCTAGCACCATGTGAGGTAGTGGGGGTCAATACTGACTCATAGAAAAGAACAAGCCCTAGTGAAGCCATCTCACCATCCCCTGGAGCATATCTCTGTCTTGCACCACACCAGGCCACTAGGTTATGTAGTAACTAGATGGAAAAGCATTACCTATGAGCCAATACCACTTCCTCTGGCACTTCTTTCCTTGGAGGAGGTTTTCCACTCAAAACTTCATGCTGTTAGGAGCAAGGTTCCCTGTAAGCTGCATGCCCGCATGAGTGTGCAGCCCTTTTCTGAGCCCCATGCAGAGGTTCAGAGCTCCAGTGCAAGCAGGGAGTTCATCTGACCAGCAGGGGAGTTGAGGTGGGGCCTCAGCCAGCTCCCTGCCTGCCCTGTACCTGCTCAGCACTCAGGAAAGCCAGGTGCAGGGCTATGTGTGTGCTTGCAAATGCTGAGAGCCTAGAGGGAGGGGACACAGGCTTCTCATGCTGCTCCTGCCTCCAATAGCTTCTACTGGCCGGTTTCAGCCAATAGTAGCTGCCTGTTTTCAGGACAAGCAGAATGCTCATCCCCTGGGCTCACAGCATTCAGTTTAGATTAGAGCAATAAATGTAGCCCCTGCAGCTTCCCTGAGTATGTATAAGAGTTGGAAGGCAGGGACCCTGGCTAAGGAACCTGCTGGGCTGCTGGCTTAGAGCCAGATAAGGTCTCCCAGCCAGAGCCTCTCTCTGGCACCTCAGCCCTCCCTCCTTACCCCAACCCTCTGCCCCCCTTCTGCCCTTATGTGTGTGCTTGCAAATGCTGAGAGCCTAGAGGGAGGGGACACAGGCTTCTCATGCTGCTCCTGCCTCCAATAGCTTCTACTGGCCGGTTTCAGCCAATAGTAGCTGCCTGTTTTCAGGACAAGCAGAATGCTCATCCCCTGGGCTCACAGCATTCAGTTTAGATTAGAGCAATAAATGTAGCCCCTGCAGCTTCCCTGAGTATGTATAAGAGTTGGAAGGCAGGGACCCTGGCTAAGGAACCTGCTGGGCTGCTGGCTTAGAGCCAGATAAGGTCTCCCAGCCAGAGCCTCTCTCTGGCACCTCAGCCCTCCCTCCTTACCCCAACCCTCTGCCCCCCTTCTGCCCTCCTACCCCATGTAACCCAAACCTTCTACACCCCTGCTCCACCCCCATACACCTTCCCAGACACTGCATCCCCACCTACACCCCTCCTCAGATCACAACCCCCTCCCAGACCTTGCACCCCAATGCGCTATCCCTGGCCACAGCCCAAATTCCTCTGGACCTTCTCCTGCACCCCTGCCCCAGGTCACAACTCCTTCCCAGGCCCTGCACCCCCTCCTCACCCCAGTCCATTGCCACAGGTCACAATCCCCTACTTCACTCCCTCTCACATCCCACACCCTAATCCCTTCCCCCAAGCTCCCTTCTGCACCCAACCTCCATTCCAAACCCCCACACCTCCTCCATTAATATCATGGAAGCGTGTGGCTCTCAACCACTTACCAAATTCCTGGAGTGGTACCCCATCGAAAATTATTGCCCACCCCTGTGCTAATGGCTTACGGTAAGAAAGAAAAAGATTATTTTAACAGAATAATCATTGTTTTGAGTGTTGCAAATATCTAGAAGTCTGATCTTAATGGCGCTATCCCTGGCCACAGCCCAAATTCCTCTGGACCTTCTCCTGCACCCCTGCCCCAGGTCACAACTCCTTCCCAGGCCCTGCACCCCCTCCTCACCCCAGTCCATTGCCACAGGTCACAATCCCCTACTTCACTCCCTCTCACATCCCACACCCTAATCCCTTCCCCCAAGCTCCCTTCTGCACCCAACCTCCATTCCAAACCCCCACACCTCCTCCATTAATATCATGGAAGCGTGTGGCTCTCAACCACTTACCAAATTCCTGGAGTGGTACCCCATCGAAAATTATTGCCCACCCCTGTGCTAATGGCTTACGGTAAGAAAGAAAAAGATTATTTTAACAGAATAATCATTGTTTTGAGTGTTGCAAATATCTAGAAGTCTGATCTTAATGATTTTTTAAAATCCCGTGTTGCTATTTAATACATTGTAAATTGTGTTGCATTAAGGCCAAATCTTTGCTATCTGGTACAGTTCTGACTCTTATGAGTCAGAAGACAGGTCACAATCCCCTACTTCACTCCCTCTCACATCCCACACCCTAATCCCTTCCCCCAAGCTCCCTTCTGCACCCAACCTCCATCCCAAACCCCCACACCTCCTCCATTAATATCATGGAAGCGTGTGGCTCTCAACCACTTACCAAATTCCTGGAGTGGTACCCCATCGAAAATTATTGCCCACCCCTGTGCTAATGGCTTACGGTAAGAAAGAAAAAGATTATTTTAACAGAATAATCATTGTTTTGAGTGTTGCAAATATCTAGAAGTCTGATCTTAATGATTTTTTAAAATCCCGTGTTGCTATTTAATACATTGTAAATTGTGTTGCATTAAGGCCAAATCTTTGCTATCTGGTACAGTTCTGACTCTTATGAGTCAGAAGCACCAAGTACTAGGTGTGATGCTAGCAGTTTCATAGAATGAAACCTTATTTTCAAGATCTTTGAAACCTACATCTGTCTGTTAAAAAGGATGATGATACATGTGCTCCAAAGTCTCAAAGGGGTATCCGTGTTAGTCTGTGCTCTCAACCACTTACCAAATTCCTGGAGTGGTACCCCATCGAAAATTATTGCCCACCCCTGTGCTAATGGCTTACGGTAAGAAAGAAAAAGATTATTTTAACAGAATAATCATTGTTTTGAGTGTTGCAAATATCTAGAAGTCTGATCTTAATGATTTTTTAAAATCCCGTGTTGCTATTTAATACATTGTAAATTGTGTTGCATTAAGGCCAAATCTTTGCTATCTGGTACAGTTCTGACTCTTATGAGTCAGAAGCACCAAGTACTAGGTGTGATGCTAGCAGTTTCATAGAATGAAACCTTATTTTCAAGATCTTTGAAACCTACATCTGTCTGTTAAAAAGGATGATGATACATGTGCTCCAAAGTCTCAAAGGGGTATCCGTGTTAGTCTGTAACTTAAAAAAAGTATAAAAAGAACAAAGGTCCTGTAGCACATTAGGGTACATCTAGACTACAGGATTTTGTTGACAGACGCTTTGTCGACAGATACTGTAGACAAAGTTTCTGTCAACAAAGAGCGTCTAGACTACAGCCAGTTCTGTTGACAAAGCAAGCCGCCTTGTCGACATAACAGTGTGGACGCAAAGGACAGTGTAGATGCAATAATGCCTTCTGTCGACAGAACTCTGTAGATAAAAGGCGTTATTCCTCGTAGAATGAGGTTTACATACGTCGACAAAACTGCTGAGTTTTGTCGACGTTATGTCGACATAACTCAAAGGCAGTATGGATGCAGGTATAGTTTTGTCGACAAAATTCCACCTTTGTCGACAAAACCCTGTAGTCTAGACACACCCAAGGGTAGTATTCATTTTCTTTTTATTTGATTACATATGAAATAATCATAAGCATTGTTCCTTGTTAATTATCCTTTGTTTTAATATATTTTCTTCCATACTAAGGACTACCGTGTATACTCGAGTATAAGCCGAGTTTTTCAGCACATTTTTTGTGCTGAAAAATGCCCCCCTCGGCTTATACTCGAGTCTGCGTCTCGAGAACTGAGGAAAGTGAGTACGCTGGTCAGGTTCTAAGGCATCCAGGTTGTCGTATCTGTCAGGAGGTGTTATTGTTATGGACTGCGCTGTAAATTCATCATCAAAGTATCTCGTGTCAATTTCTGAGGTCTGAAAGCTCTATGTATGTGCGATGAACAGCGCACATACATAGGCTTGTTGGCTGCACAGTGACTGCCAGTGATTGGCTTGTCACTGTGCTGTGGGCAGGGGGCGGGTCCGGAGGCAGAAGCGCGGCTCGGCGCAGGCTGAAGAGAAGAGATAAGGTAAGGGGCCTGAATGGAAAGGATAAAATCCTTATGGAAAGCAGGATCTGCCCAGGGATTGTGGAAATATTTTATCCTCTGTGTCGGGGGAATGGTATATGTGGAGAGGGAGTTGCCATCTGCAAGTTTCCCTCAGCTAAAAACACGAAAACAGCTAGGAAGCCGGGACACCTGAGGAAAAGAGCTATGGGGAGCTGATTGAGCTTGGTTGCTGATTGAGCTAAGGTTGTTGTACTTTTAAAGTTACGGTATTTTTGATACCATATTGTTTTTGTTGACCCCCTTTTCCACTTACAGAGCTAGGTTATTGTTTTTCTTTGAAATAAATATTCATGTAATTTTATTGGTATCTATCTTCATTTTTTACATTTACCAGTAGCTGCCTCATTTCCTACCCTAGGCTTATACTCGAGTCAATATTTTTTCCCAGTTCTTTGGGGTAAAATTAGGTGCCTCGGCTTATATTCGGGTCGGCTTATACTCGAGTATATACGGTAT